GCATGGAGGAGAGGGAGGGATGAGGACGGCCAGGTGGTTACAAACAAGCAGGAACTGGGGATCATCGTTACTGGCTGGCAGGGGAAAAAGTAAGGGCCTGGTCCTAGGGAACCTGTTGTCACCTATCATCATTCTGAATGGGATTTGAATATCTTTGCATGTGAGGATCTTGCTGGGCTGCAGGAGGACATCAGGAGTGGCAGCTCCAGACACCAGCGGGCAGCTGGGATGTAACACTATGTGAGTCATAAGCACACCTGGATAAAATTATGCTTGGGGCCCTTATGTCTTTTTTTTCCTGTTCTCCCTCATTTTTTCCATTATTCCAGTTGGGCTACAGAAGGGATGATCCTGCCTTCGCAGGACTCCTCCAGCAGCTTCCAAACCCAAGAAAAAAAATTGTTTATGTTTCATTTTTAAACACTCCTGCAAAAAAACAGACGTGCCTGGGCTTAGCTTTCCGGGGCAAGGGAACAGAGCCCCTTCAAACAGCCCCTCTAACCCATCTTCCCTTCACTGCTTTGCCTGGAGATTCATCTCCTACACACAGGGATACATATTCCTCGAGGTGGAAACACCATCCACCTCGAGGCACCATCTGCACAGTAAACTCCTGTTTGGGATGGGAGCAGAAGAGCAGAAGTCTCACAGCACATCAGACTCGCTCCTTTTAAATCCCCAAGACCCTGTATTTGGCCTCTTTTTTCCTCAGGTGCTACAGAAATATTCATACTTGGTGCCTTCTCCAAGCGAGGGAAGGCTGCCTCCACTCAGTTTTGAAAACAACAAGGAGCACAAGCCTAGGCGATGGATGTCGGCAACAGGTGAGGGCAAAGACACCCATGGTAAAACGGGGTGATTCCCCTTGTGGTAGATGTGAATATACAGGAGGAGCCTGTGCTCGATCATCCCCTTTTCGGTGCATAGTGCCAGTCCTCATGTTTTCTGACTTCAAAGCAGCTCTCTCTGCAGCTGCAGTGTCTCATGCAGCCAGGTCCCCAGCTGGTACCACGGGGAGCCTTCAGCTCCATGGGCTAAACCTCAGACTTCCCAAGGATCTGAGACATGTGGTGTCATGCTGAACCCCATCAGCCTGTGCCCCCCACTCTGCTCACACTGTGAAACCACCAAGCAGGGGCCCAGGGAGGCAGCAGCAATCTGTGGGGATTCCCAAAATCTGACCAAGTAAGGCTCTGAGCAACCTGACCTACCTTTGAAGCTTTGGGGCAGGAGCTGGGCCAGGTGACCTCCAGAGGTCCTGCCTGACCCAAATGGTACTACAGCTTTGCAGTAGGATGTGTCCTACTGGTGAAAAGTTCCCGCAAGCCTGAGAAAACACATGCTTGGATAGAAAAGACAGTTCTCACCAAGTCCTTGATGAGGAAGAGGCTGCCGTGTAGGTTAACCCTTCCCTATAGTGTTCATAAGGAGACTGAACACTGGGTGGTGGGAGAGAGGGATGCTGGGTGCCCCAACCAACAGGGTGGCTATGGCAATATCCCCCACCACAGGGAACATCTCTGAACACAGCCCAGATCCCAAGCAAATCCATCTTCTCTGTTTCTGCTACTCTGCAGATGACTTTTCTCCTACCTGAGCCCCGCGGACAGCTTTTGAGGGGATCAGACTTTGCCAGAGACCTTGGTATCACAGCACCTTGCTAGCCAAGATCCCCTGAAGCGGCCTGCTTGAGCTGTTGAAGCACAGGGGGTGCTCTGGCCACAAGCCCTGTGGGTGCTGCAGAGAAGAGCCTGGCCCCTACCATGCTCAGGGCAATTTCTGCAGGCTCACCTGCTGACCACATCACAGAGTTGCACAACGAGATCAACTATGAGATTACTTGTAGTGCTAATGGACAGGCACCTGGTTTCCAGCATTCCCGAACCAAATCGGTGGTTGGGCCAACACTGACTTTTATGACTGTGTAGTTTTGCAAGCAAATATAATCAAACATTGCATTTCAGAATAGATGTCTGATGTCCCAGCCTGAAGAAATCCTCCTTTGTATTTACATCACCCTGCGGTTCGCCAACTGCTTTTGGTCTGAGCAAGTTGCAGCAGCGTCCTCAGCTTTGTGAGGTGGATATTCTCTTTGATGGAACAGCGTGATGGGTATGTGCTGTAACTCCCCTGCTTGGATACCTCTTGGAAAAGCCTCAAACATGTAAGCCCTGGGAAGAGGGGAGTTTACCAAGTACGCACGCCGTTCCCAGAGGTATGTCTGTGTGTCTCCTATTGCGCAGGGTGGGGGTTAGTGGTTTTGCAGCTCAGCTGCCCTCCTCGCAGGACCAAGCAGAGGGTGAGCCAAGTTACCCAGCCATCAGCATGCTGGCACCAACTGTCACATGGAACAACCAGAGGCAAGTTGTGACCACGGAACTCACTTTAACTATGTAAAGGTTAATGCATGGGTTAAACTGGAAATGCCTGCCTCTCCCTGTTAACTACTTCTAAGTTCCAGATGGCTGATGCTAAGAACAGCAAATCCTTCTCCTGGCAAGTGACAGTTTACATCGCAGACAAGCATTTATATACCTAGAAACACTTGGGTGGCTCTTGGGCAACCATCTCCTTACCCCAGTAACCAGCAGGGCTTGCTGAAGGCAGGCTCTCACCAAAAGAACACACAGAAAAGGCAGCTCAGACCTCACTCCTCTTTGTCAGCCCTGTAGGATGCCAAGCTCCATGTAGGCACCTGAGCGAGCCTGAGAGACTCAGAAAAAAATGTTTCACCATAAAGGGCAAATATGCTCTCTCTCTCAGATGGACCACAGTACTGAGGTCAAGGAGGATTTGTGCAAGAAGGTCAGACATAAAAAGGGGCTTTGCAGTTCCTACGGTGTGGAAAAAAGGCCTCTGAGATGCTTCCTCAGTGGCATGGGTGATGGGCGAGGAGCTCGAACTGCTGCTACAGACAAGGAAAGCCCACTGACTCTCACAGTATGTAATACACGGGACACAGGCGCTTGCCTGGAGGGCTGCAGAGATGTGCCAACATTTAACACAGCCGATCTGAATGGTGAGGAGCAAGCAGGCCATGGCAGACGTAAACAGTAGCCTTGCTTGCAGGAAAGCAAAAGTTTTGAGTCAGCTCTGTTTACTTGGGAAGATGCTTTCCAGTCCCCACACAAGCCTACCTCCAGGCTTTCTCTCGGCCTTAACTCTCAGCACTAAATCCAGGCTGTGCCAGAAGCAGAAGTCTCCTTCTGTCCACAGACTAAATACTCCTCAGAGGAGATGAGCGTCAGCACTTAGTTTACATTGCATGATGCTTTCCAGCCCCACGCGACTGAGCCTTCTCTTTGCCTGAGCGCTCAGACTCAGGCTGCAGCCCTTACTTTCCAAAAACGAACCTTCCCAAGAGGAGGGTTTGAGCATCAGCCCTCTCAAGCTTGGCTGCCCCTTCCCAGCCCCAGCACAACCACAGCTCTGGGCTTTCCCTTCTACCTAACCCAACTCTTCCTTCCTCACAACAAAAATTCATCAGGAGATGACTCCTCTCCAAGCCCCAGGTCTCCCCAGACAGCCCCTTTTCCAGCCACTCTCCACCTGCAGCTCCCAATCCCAACCACAACACTACCCTGATGGCCAGCCACAGGGCAGGGAACTCGCCACACAAGGCAAGGCTGGATGAAAGGGATTCATGAAGCCTAGAAAATTTCCTTACTTGAAATATTCAAGACTTGGTTTGATAGAGCCCTGAATAACCTCCTCTGATACACTGCTTTCAAAAGAAGGTTGGACTCAACATGCCCCAAGGGGTCCCTTCCAGCCCCAGCTTGTCTGTGACCCTATGAGATCCCTCCCTAACCAACAAGAGCCCATCATGTTAAAAGGGGGTAAGAGATGCTGATCTTTACCCGGGGAGTGTGGAAAAACTTCCAAAAACCAGAGCAAACTATGTCAAGAAAACATAAAAATAAACCCAACTGAGCCCCAAAACCAAGAAAAAGCAGCCTGCCATGAGCCTCATAACCCGGCTGGTGAAGGACTAGGGACGCCAGAGACTCACTGTAAGAACCCTGCGCGTACACACAGGCACAACTTCCTTGAGGAAGACCAAACCTTGTGGTCACTGGAAGGGTAAACACACAACCAAAGGAAAGGGACAGAGACCAGAAAGTTTACGTACCATGGCTATAACCAGTACTGCTTTACAGCCTCATTTCAAACAGTGCTCATGGCTTCCTCTTCTTCCCAACCCTAACCAAAGCCTTGTCTTCCCAGCCCACCAGGCTGTGTATTGGCTAGACTAAACTGCAAGTTTCTCATGGCTTTGTGATGAAATTTGGAATCCTGGCATCAGGTAAAGCACACAGCAATAGCCTACTGTTCCCCTTTTCAATAGCCAGCTGTGCCAGTGACATCCCGAAGTGTACAGCACTTCACAGAGTCCAAGGCACAGCCTGACCACCTCCACCACCAACTCTGCAAGCCACTGCACACTCAGTTAAATACTCAACAGCTTCCCTCAAACACCCAGAGGAAACAGAATTTGCCATCACACTGTAGACGTGAACAGCCTCGGGGAATGTCTATTTTACTTCTGATTCATTCCACTAATAAGGAGTTACTGCTTGACACTCTGCAAAAAGAGATTTTTCTGAACAAGGAAACTGTAAGCAAGCTAAACAGGTATCTATGAGGAACGGGGTAAGCACAGCTGAGGCTGTGTGTTGGGTGAGTGATGGACTTTCACAAGAGCTCTTCCATGAGGTGACATGCTCAAAGCCCAACCACGGAGTAACAGAAGAGGCACCCCAACTCCCAGCCTCTGCACATGAGGCCAAACTTGAGTACACCACCTTTAAACTCTAGTTCCTCCTTCTGCCTCGAGCTGCCTTGAGCACAGCACTTCCCACCCTGTTAGATGGGTACTCCAGAAGTTGGAAAGGCAGCTCACACTATTGCTCACTCCAAGAGGTCCATTCCCCTATCAAACCAATGCCATACAAGGCTTCTGAAAGATGAAAAAAGAGAGACCAACAAGAGCATTATTAAAAATTTAACTATATACCATATTTATTATCAATCCACAGGATAATCTGATTGCTACATGAGCTCATAAAAGCTATTTCACCTTTACAAAATTAAAAAAAAAAAATGTGCCACAAGGATGTAATAACTGCTGATAACCAAGGACTGAATCTTAAAATTATAAATTTGCTGTAGAAAAGATTAAAAAAAATTATATTCACTTTAGAATTTTACTTTGAATAAAATATTCCCCTGTATAAAAAATAAAAAAGCTTGCTCTGGTTAGAATTAGAGTATTTTTCTTCTTCTTTTTTTTTTAAATCTGGGAATTTGCATAATATCTCTGTTATAGGTTTCTTTTTTTTTTTCCTATTGTACCACGCGGCATTCAAGCATAGCAGATTAGAAACAAACAAGATAAAAGCAGTCTTAAAACATATGAAATCCACATGGGAAGTTTTAACTTCCTTTCCTTTCCTCTATTCTTTAAAGACACTTTAGCAAGAATAGCCTTGGAAAAGAATACAGGTGGGGAGGGACCTTCAGTGTGCCATTAAGTAGAGCAAGGTAATAAAAGGCCTTTTGTAAGTGCTTTCTTAATAAGGTGCAGAAGCAGACTGCAACGTTGCTAGTACTGCACTATGTACAATATTCACAATAGATTTTCTTTATTTAAAAATATTCCAGCTAGTTCACATTTTCTCTTCCATTCTGAGGCTTTCAGTTCCACCACAGCCTTGACAGCGAGAAGCGCAGCAGCACCACTTCCCTTGTGGTCGGTTGGTCCTCTTATGAAACACTGGAACCTGCGAGTGGGCCAAAGTTCTGGGGTTGTTTTCCTACGTAGCAACCTTGGAAATCCACCTGGGTTCAGGCGTACATACTGATGGCTGGAGTCCTGAGTTAAAAACACTCCGGCAAGAGGAGTCGGACACAGCAATGTTTTATATTGCCAAGGCTTTACCTTAGATTTGTCTTGTGTGCATCAAGGGATGAACCGAACGTAAAATACAAAACCAAACAAAACAAAGCTAAAAAAACACACTGTCGAAGGCTTAGCAGCTCTTGACTCTCGACTGGGTGATGTCTGACGTTTTCTTGATGACGCTGGCCCGTGTCTCGCGGTCTGGCCGGCTGCTGCTCGTGGAGGCTGTGGACATTACTTGTGGCAGAGGGATGTCTGTGAAAGGGGGCCAGGAGCTGTTGTAAGGCAATGGGCAGCTTTCTTCTTTGATGGTGACTTGGAGGTCAGGCTTGTTGGCTACAAAAGTTGCCATGCTGGGAAGCATATGAGAAGTGTTCCTCATTCCCAGATTGCTGAAATACTGTTTGCCTTCAATGTTTCTTTTCTGCCAATGAAGTCGTCCCTAGAAAAGTGAGGGGAAAAGGAGGGAAGACTATGAGCAAATGCAACTTTGAGAAGTGCTCTGACTAACAAGATGAAGAGAAAAACATCCACAAATTGCACAGGAATTACCTCATCTCTAAAAGCATAAGGTTTTTAGAGCCTCTGGCCACTGGCTTTGAATGTCTTTGCTCTCGGCCACTTCTCCCTTTCTGAAGTCGCGTGCTTAAACCCTGGTGGCTCTCCAGCACTCAAGAGGTTCTGCCCACCCTTCTGATGGAAAATAAAGGCCTTACTCCCCGTATGCCAGAGACAAAAATAGACATAGATGACTGAACACTCCAAATGAAAGCGTCTTCTCCAGTACCGGGGAGAGTATGCCCCTGCCAACAGGCAGGCAACAGAAACCCAAGATCTCTCAAGCAGCACCACCTGAACTGCCAACACAGGTGAGGACGCCAGGAAAATCACTGTCACTTGATGGTGTGTCCCCTATCACAAGGAGGAGGTCCACCAAGGAAAGATGTGCATCCACTCCTTTCCCCATCACATCTGCCACAATGGCAAATTCTGTCAAATGAGGTTTGAGGAGTCATTACTGGCGGTCTACATACAAGCTTCACCCTAACCAAGGCATGAGAGACAAAATCAAGAGGGTTAGCTGTACTGATACACAGCTGCACAACCTGCACTTCTCCAAGAATTCAGAGGCTTTCTGAGGGCACAGCAGGAGAGAGATTTGGAAGAGCCCTCCTGCAAAAATGCAGCTGCAGCACAGGGCTTCTAAGTGCCCTCAGGGAGCTCCTGGTCTCTAAGTACTTATTGAGATCAGTAGGTCAGGTCACTTGATGGCAGCCCCAAAAGGAAAGGCGAGTGCTGGTTTTGCATAGGATCTTCTCCACTGATTCCTTTCACCCAGGAATACCCAAATGAGTGCTCAGGAAAGCTTTCTGCCTCACATACCTCAAACATTCAAGTTGCATTTTGATTTTATGTGTAAGCATTTCCTCCAACTGTGTGAGTTCAGGTGCCACTTAAGGAAAACAAAGTGAGCATGCTTTCAACCAAGACAAAATTCTCACTACCCAGCAATGTCAATGCATCATATTAACAAACTAGCTGGGACTGTTGATGGCTCTCCAGAACATCTTATGATGCAAATTAATCTCCTTGGAGTTTGGACAGATGAGGTGGAAAGAACTTGCACAGATTCATTCTGTGACAATCATCTAAATGTCTGTCTTCCTTGAACCTTCCTGGATTGTTTTCTTCCCCAGCTATTGGGAAGGGGAAGAATACCTCAGAACATTGTTCTTGAGACACTGCTCCAAAGTGCTAAATTTCCAGAAAACTCTTACCTCTGCATTTTCTTCATCACTTGGAACGCTGTCTGTCGTTTCACTTTCTGTTAAACAAAATAAAACAAAAATGAAACTTGCACTATTCTATCTACAGTAGGAAAATCCACCTCAAGAGGCCTGATCCACTTCCAACAAGTAGAAGCAAACAGAGTCAAGCCAAACAACCAGAAAACAGAGAAGCATGGACCCCCTGCTGCACCAGTAGCAATCCAAGGGCTAGACGGCACAGCTGCGTTGAACAACTGGGGTAAATTCAGATGGTTATAACATTTAGCGAGGCTATACCCTGAACAAGACAGCAGTGGAGAGGGAAGTAGTAGATTTGTGCATTCTGAGCAGAGGGAAGAGCCTCTGGCAAGCGGGGATGCCCCCTCTTCCTCTCTTGGCAGCTCCAGGCCTGGCAAAGAGCAAAGTTCTGTCCAAATCCTTATTTTTATCTCCCTGCAAAACCAGCAACAACTCCACCCCAGAGGAGATAAGCGTGTTTTTGTTTCATGAGCTGTTATCTCAGCCTGCCGCCTCAAGGGCTTGTTGTGACTTCTGGTGCTCTATTACTGCTATACTTTGCTCTCGGTTCACTTCTGCCACCCATGCCTCGCCTCCCTAGCTTATTTCTCAACCCTTCACCCACCACTCAAGCAAGAAGGAATGCTGCTTTCTCCAGCCCCACCACCTTCACCCACTGCACAAGGCCTCCTTCACCATCATCACTTCAACCAGAGCGCAAACACAGGGGCACAGCTCCAGCAGGATGGCCATTCTCCTGCTGCCGTATCCCTCGCTTGCAGAGATGCCTGAAATCCAGGAATTTTGACAGCATTTTCAAGCCCACGTGTGTCTGAACACAGGTCTCCCAGTGCCCGAGGGTCAGGCTCCTGGCCCATGGGCTGTTTTAGAGTGCTGTGCCTCAGACACACCTGAGACAGGGCACAAACCTGTCTTTCCACAACTAGTCTGCAGTGATGGCTGCTGCCTTCAGCACAGCTGCCCAGTGCCCAGACCCTCACCCAGAAAAGTGGAGGCCTCAATTGCAGGTCCCCTTCAGCTTGTGCGGTTTTGAACCACTGTGTCCTGTTTCCTAGGCATCTCTCAGGCTACCGAGAGCATTTGGAAGAGCCCCGCCAGGGCTGAGCAGACAGGGTTCATCCACATCTTAAGCCGAAAGGAACACAGAAATTACAAGGTTGATGGAACAATGTGATGAGTTACTGTAGCAGGCGATGAAGCTCTCAAGTCCCATTTTCCACTCTCCATTCTGCATTACGCATTTGAGCCCACGCAAACTGCTTTGCACAGCCCCTGCATCCCTGTGACCATAAACCATGATCCTGCCTTCCCAGAGAGCAACCTGATGCTCTGCACTGGACATGAGTGCTAGGGGTGCATGGACTGTGCCTCGTGGATCGTGCCTCTGCACATCTTCAGAGATACTGGCAGCTCCTTGCCCTTCTCTCAGGCTAAACATTAGGTTTAGGCACAGGGCTGTAAATCAATAGTCAGACCTCAGGATCTAAACTGCACCCAGTCCTTCGGAGGTGAGGAAGCAGGCAGCTCAGCTACCCCAGACTATGACTTCCAAAGCCAGCACCTCCCCTTTGCCAGAGTCTCCGTCTCAGCATGCAGTAAGCAGAGGAGCAGTCTGAAATGTTGAATCTAACTGCAAAGTCCTGTGAAGTTAACACTCTGCAAGGCTTCTCGCTCACTGGCCCAGGTAAAGAGAGATGTGCCAGTGTGATTAATCTGGCTAATTAAGCCATACTGGGGGAAGGAAAGGCAGAAATTAATCTGTGCAAGGAAGAAATGGCCCCGGAAGTAGAATTAATAGGAGGAATCCACTCAGAGACAAAACCAGATATTCCTTGACATGAGGAAACGTGGCAAAAAAAAAAGAGTGATGCAGCTGAAAAGGAATCTATGCTTGGTGTTTATACATAACAAAATGCTGAGCAAGAGATAGCACTATAGTTAGCAAAGCCAGGGAAGCTAATCACTCAGGCATGGAAAGTTAGGCTATTTCAATCACAAAGATTATTTGAATCAGTGTCAAACACAAGAGGAGGCTGACAACAGCCTTGGTACTAAAAAAACGGTTTTCATAGACATCAGTGTAAATATGAGAAAACTCACAAGGGCCACTCACATTATTTGCATGAGTAACCTCAGAAAGGAGCTAGAGGTGGTTTTGAAATAAAACAGATTTATGTAGGACAGCTGAAACCTCAGGCTACTTTTCGTTATTGTCATTTCAGAAGAGCTAAACTAACTGTTCCTGCACAGCTGCTCTGGTTATACTCTTTCCTGCCATTCAGTGGTAGCACCTGACAGAGCAAGCAGCTCAACCCAACAAAACCATGAGCACAAGGCCAGGCCTCCTGCTGTTCTCATAAGGGTTTGTGTGGAACAAGCCAAGCCAGAAATAGTTACAAGATTCTCCTGTAAGTTTCAGGGTTCTAAGAAACCACAGACCCCTGTCCTCTCTCCTGCCTCAAGGACAAACGTGTGCTTCAGAAATAAAGATTCATGGAACAATTTGGGCTGGAAGGGACCTCAGGAGGTCTACAGCCCAACCTCTTGTTCAAAGCAGGGCCAGCTACAGGACAGGATCGGGTTGTATGTGACCTTATCAAGCCAAGTCTTGACAAGCCCCAAGGATGGAGGCAGCACAACCTCTCTGGGCATCCTGCTCCACTGCCTGACAGTCCTTGTGCTGAAAAAAAGTGACATTTTTTCTTGTACCCAGCTGGACCAAGTTCTCTTGATTCAATTTATGCCTGCTGTTCCTCATCCTCCCACCACAGACCATTGTGAAGAGGTTGGCTCTACTTTCTCAATAACATCCCTGAAGGTAGGGGCAGGCTGCTATGAGGCCTTCAGAACCATCTCTTCTCTAGGCTGAACAAGCCTCAGTCCCTCAGTATCTCCTCACAGAGTGAGTGCTCCAGCCCTTTATCACCTGGTAGCCCTTCCCTGCACTTGCTCCCATTCGTTCTTATCTTTCTTGGACTGGCAGGCTCAAGACTGGACCCAATACTTCTAAAGTAATGTAGCTACTGCTGAACAGAGGCCACTTCCCTGGCCATGTTCCTGAAAGCTGGCAGCCTTCTCTGTGGCCAGGGTGCTCTGCTGTCTCATGTTCAGCTCAACCACCTTGTGCAGACCTGCTCCCCATCCCATCAGCCCCAGCCTCTACTGCTGCAAGTGGCTCTTCCTTCCTAGGCACAGGACTTGGCATCTGTCCCTGTTGAATTTGGCCCATTCCTGCAGTTTCTCCAGGTCTCTGATGGTGGCCCTGTCCTCAAGCATATCGACTATTGTCCCCTCTTTGGTATCACCTGTAAACTTCACAAGTGTGTACTCCAACACCTCTTCTGCTCATTGATACATGAAACAGGACTTGTCCCAGGACTGACCCTTCCAGTACTCCACTTCTTACTGGCCTCTACGTAGAGTAACCAGAATCAACAAGAACTGCATTGAGATGCACTCAGAAGCATGTCAGTGGCTTGAAATCACCTCAGAGTTACCTGAGTTATGGGCTAGTAGGTCCTGGTGTAAGCTAGGACAGCTGAAAGCCACCAAGATACTAAGACAACATAAGAGGATAGCAGAAGTATGTCAGCCACGCCTCATTTTCTTTACGCAGGCTTGTTGCATTGACTTTATGGGAGGTAGCTCATGACTTACCCATATCAGGGTGGTTCTCGTGTCACCAGACCACCCCTCTCTATCATCCCAGCCCAAGCAAACACCATGACTTCCACAAGGCGCTGTCTCCCAGCCACTAATAGGTTAAAGCACCCTCATTCCCTGCCTCACACTTTGCAAAGCTCTTCTAAATGCTTTGGCCACTACAGACTAAACATACTGGGAAGCATAATGGTTTATTAACATGTGTGAGACTAACATTGGAGGCTATTCAAAAGAACATAACACTATTCACCCGGACCCAAAGATAAAAATTACTAAATACATATTTTATAAAAATGTATCTGGAAGTAATTTCAGCCTAATGAGCCAAAGGCATAACCACGTGTAAAATAATAACTGTCATGGGGAACAATTAATACTTAAGTTTGCCTAAAAATACGACCTTTGTGTTACTACCCTGTCTCCTGAGGCTTTCAAGTTAGCAACATGTTAAAAAAGGAAGGACAAGTTGGATCTGAAACAACTTGTACTTTCAAATGTGGCTTTGTCCTGCTTCCTATGGAAATAAAGCTTACACGATTGCTGGGACTCTATATAGCATGCCCACATGTGCATTTATGTCTGTTCTGCCCTAATACTGTCAGACTTGGATAAGGGATAAATGAGTGCCAAAGACTCTGAACTTCCTACCAATTTTATGAAAATAAGAGGGCCTGGACAAAAAAGAGAAACCATTAGCACCCCCTGACTGTGGGCAGGGCAAGGGGAAAGCTTGTTACCTCACCCCTTTTTAGATATCAGTGAACCCAGAAAGGAGGCAGACGTTGGTGGAAACCAGATGTTCACAGCTCTGTTGCTTGCCGGACCACTTGTTATCAGCCACTACATGGCTGTTCTAGTCTGCAGACTACTTGTAACAAGACAGATCTACTCCCTCAGGGCCCTCAGCTCCATGGCTACATTATACATCATCAGTGCAGCCCTTGGCGCTCTGTGTTCACCGTGCTAGGCACTGAGGAAACAGTCAGAGGAAAGGCAGAGAAGACCTTTAACCTTTAGTAAGTCAGGGGCAAAGGGGACACACTATATCTGCAGCACATAATTTGTACTGCTGGAAATGTCCCTCTAATAAAAGATGAGAAGACCTCTCTGAAGTACATCTAAAAAGGTTCTTTTTCCATTAGTCACAGGCTAAAATCTGCAGCTTATGTTTCCCACCTCAGATGTGCCCAGTTGTTTCCCAAGATGGAACCAGTAGAGGACTCTAAGTTTTTGAGGTGCGTTAAAAATGTAGAAGGTGGATGAATAGACATTTCTACCCTCAAAGAGCCCTTTTTCCCCCAGGGTCTTCCAAACAAAAAAGAGCTAGGAAAAAGAAATGCTAGGATGCTTACCTGCATAGGAGGAGACAGGGGAGATCTGTAGGGGGTACAGCTGGCTCATGCTGAGGGGCTGTTCATCACTTTCTGTTGTCACCTCTACTACCTGGCAGACATCAGGAGGATTGGCAACTATCACCTGCTCCTCGCTGCTGCCATCAAGGTGCGGCTGTCCTACAACTCAGGGTTAGAAATAAAAATTGATTACTCATCACACCTCAACCCCACTGGACCTCTGAGAGTCTGTCCTTGGAGACTGCTTGGTATGTGAGTGAGTCTTCAATACTGTCTCAGCACTTTCTTCCATGCCCAGCACCTGCTTTCAATGGGATTTCTAAAGGAAATCTGTGTGACTTACTTTTCATCGCCTTCAGAGACCTCTGTTTCCCCACTTGTGATGACTGAAAATGCCCAACTCTCCGCTGGCTCTCTCACATTAACACCCTTGAGCCCTCCTTGACATACCAGCTATCCAGAGGCTTTTGCAAGGAAGACCACAGCCACACTCCTCCTCCACCCAGAAACATGGTCTTACCAGAACATACAGACCACAGCAAGCTCTCCTGACCTGGGAAAGCATCCTCACCAAGAAAGATGCCAATGTCCCATGGCCTCCAGATGCTCCCATGTAAATTATGCACCACAAGACCAGAACTGGCATGCAAAAGCTGTCCAGATGGTCATCTAAAAGATGACTCTGATTTATACATGACATGAATCTGTGAAAATTTTCTCCTCTGATTAGATGATTATTTTCACTAATCCTTGCAATGCCACTGATAGTATGTAGAAAGACAGTTGTACCTGTAGTCTGTAAGCCCCATGGTCTGTGACAGAAAGCTACAGACTGGTTAGTTATTAAGAGAGGGTTTTCTTATTCCCCCAGGCACATGTTATTTAGTACCAAAGGAACATAATTTATTTCCACAAAATGAAGGCACCATGGATGCTTTGCAAATGCCCTGAAGTGCTTTGCAGACATTAGTTGTGCTACGCAACACCTTTCTGAAACAGGGGAATAAACCAAGGTACCAAGAAGCTACTAAGTAAAAGCGTAGTGAAATCCACTTCTCTGGAGCTGCTTGAGACAATTCCCTCTGTGTTGTACAACTACCCTGTCAGCCCCAGCAGTACGAACACATGACAACTGCATTAATCCAGCACAGAGGGGAAAGCCACTACTAGATCAGAAGAGCACATGGGGATGGAACCATCTCAGAGGATGGCTAACCTGAACCGACAGTTGTCCAAGAGAAAGGGAAGAACTACAGATATTTTTTCACTGGAACATAAAGCTTCAAAAGAAGCAATCTTCGTACTGACAAAATCTATACAAACATGGTGCTGTGTTGTTAGAAATTCACAGTTCATTTTTCTAGACCCATGGCTGGAAAAACGTAGGTGATGAAACCCAGCGGATCTTGAAATTCTTCTCTTAAGTGATCCAAGTACTCTAATTATTAATTTTTAAAAAGTCAAAAGATAGCATCTGTTCCTGGATAAACTAAGATACACATACACGCATGCACATGTATATACACACAATCATTCCTGCCTTCTATCTTCAGACAAGGCTAGAACATGACTTTCCAAAAATGACAGGTTTTTCTCTCATCGAAAAGCTGCCTATCATTTTGCTTTGTGAACTGCCAAGTAACCACTGGAAAATCCCCCAAACCTAGGTGTGTATTTTATTAAACAATTCCAGCATAAAGAAAATTACATACATACTAAATAGTTGTCGGTTAGGTTGTTGGTTTTTTTAAATTTAATCACTACAATTACTATGATTTCGTTCCAGTATTTTGTTTCCACTCTATTTCACCTTTCCTGGTTCTGAAACAACCAGCTTTTTATTGAATAGGGTGCAGGGGGCAAGAGCACAAACACACAGAGTTAATTTTTATCTGGGTGAAACTAATATTGTGCAACCCTCTCGGGGAATGACCAAGCCATCTGCACTGCTTTATCTTTCTCCTCAATACCTGATGAATTCTTACCCACCCCAAGAGATAACTTGCACAGCAAAAATTACTGCTCACTTGGGCAATATGCCACAACTTCCCATGAGCTGCATGTATGTCAAAAACACTGCAGGTGCTGTTTGCCTCTCCTCCCATCCAGCTGTCTTCCCTCTTTTCTGCGGAACAGATCTATTTTACTCTTTTCCCCCTGTTTACATTAAAATCCCAACTGCAATCCTAAATGAGGACTTCTCTCTCCAGCCTGGGTAAGCAGCACACTTCATAAGCCATTAAACAACACTGGATGACAGTTACCCACCCAAGCCTTGCTGTCCTGCCCCTGAAACTGGACTCTCTGAGTTCAGAGAAAAAACAATGCCCTTAAGGTACAAATTCAGTTCTGCTACTTGGAATCTCTTGCTTGGTTTCCACAACAGACCTCTGAGATGTTGACGTTGCCACTATGAGTCCTGCCCTGTAAATTGCTGCTGAGATCAGATTCTAAGGTGTAACACACATTCATCTCATCATAAAATCATACAGGAGTTTGGGATACACTGTACTGTAGAAAACCAAGGTGTCTGCAGCAAAATGACTGTTCATGGGCTTTGGGGAACACCACGTATTTTCCAAAGACTACTTTTAAATTATCTCTGTTTGACTTTAAGACTGCAAAATAAAGTAAAACTGCTCAAAACTTCTTCCCTGGGACTGCGTAGTGGCCTTGGGGGTGTTTCAGATTTCTTTATGAGTCAGTCAGTAAATAGGAAGCACTAACAGCACTACAGTGCTATTCCTTCAAGTTATAAAACTCTCTGTGACAGCAGAAGCAACAATTGTGTTCTAACACTCTTACAAGGCAACAGATGATTAAATGAACAGCCATGAAGAGAGGAAGACTACTCACAAACTCCTCAGCCACAAAAGCACTTGAGGAGAATGACTATGCAAAGCCCTGCAACCTATGAAACAGGGATCAAAAATAGTCACTGCGCATCTCTACAAGGAGAAGACTAACATATCTTTCAAACACTTTTTTGTCATATATAAAAGTGTAATTCTAGTAAAAATGGTATATGGGTCACATTTTTATGAGCCCTCGCTACTGAGACAACCTCAACCAAAAAAGAGCTGTCAAACCTCAGCCCAATTATTCTACTGAGAACCAATTATTCATGTGCTGAGATGACAGCTAATTCCTAATGTACTTGTTTCTAAATGCAGTCTTCACTGATCCTTGTTGCTAGCTCAGTGATACTAAGAACTAACTCTGCAACTGAGGTTCCAGTAAAAAAAACAAGTCCCTCGATCTCGTCTTCAGTTTTAAACTCCCAAATAAAATGGCACCCTATACAAACCTCTGCTCCAAGCAATGGGAAACCACCATCTGACTGCAGCTTAACTCTCACATGACATTGGCTACAGTGTCGTCACAGCTTAGGACTACCCTGTGGAATGAGTTCATGTCAGGAAAAGCCACCTGAGCATGTATATAAGCGCTTTACTCTGCAGGGGAACCACCACACTGCTACAGTGCTGCTCGCTGTCTCTGGAACGTGGTGGGGCTGACCTGCAAATCAGGATCTTGCGTAGCTCAGGCTAGTGAAAAATGGGTCAACCTGACTGTAACCATAGCATTCTCCAAAGTGCAAAATGCTGATGGCAGCTGAGTTTGGCAAGAGTCAAAAGGTGTTTGAAGTCACCTGTATGCTTAGCATATAAGAAAAGCATAGGAGTACTTACCTACAAAGTTCACTGTACTGTCAACTTCATTTTTTATACTGGAGGACAGGAAATAGTCAGAAGTGACATCATTTAGCCCATTAATCCCAAAAGATGATTCAACTGGCTCTTGCTAGAATGAAAACAGTACAGTTGGGTCAGGTTTGATTTATTTTAGGAACCTGGAGTCAGTTCATCTCTTTGTTCTGAGCCAGTAATAAATTATATCGCTTCTGCCTGCCGTTATACCCCCCACTCTCTGCTAGACACGGTCTTAGAACGACTATTTTGGTTCTCCAAGAAGAAGCCAGTCTACTTCATTTCCAAATCTTCTGCTTTGAAATGAAAGCTATTTTTAATTCTTGGATTTAAAGTGAGCCTTCAGAGAGCAAGAAATCAATGTGCTATTTACTACAAGAGATTAACATTTGCAACAAACAAGGAAGAAACACTGCTTTAAAATGATACTCTATTTAATATTCATCCTCATTCCCTTCCAAACATGCTGTATCTCTTACTGCTCTCTGAAAGCTTCTGTACAGCAATTACTAAATTCTAACCTTAATTTTTCTCTGCAGCAAGCCTGAAAGCAAACCAAAGTGTTTACACTAAATACAGCCTTTTAGATCGCATCAGAAACATTACCACAGGGCAACAGCGTTGGGAAAACACCACCTGTTCTACATAGACTGAGCTTTCCACAAGATACATCTCTGTAGGTCTGGTACACTCAAGCAGGAATCTAAAAAACTCCCTTCAGAATAGACACCAAAATGTGTAATTCCATAAACTCAGGATTTCTTTAAAAAGCTATAAATACATCTAAAGAATTATCTAGAGGTCCCTGGAACTGGGTCCCTTACAGGGTCATCAGTTACAAAGTCTAAAGTCTTCTGCTCTTTCTCTGGGGAGGCTGTGCCAGCCCTGCAAGGCAAGTTCTACCTTGCTGCTGACCCAGAGACACCTGCAGAAAGGTGGAGGGCTGCCAGTTGGATGTGATGCCACACCATGCTCATTTTCACGGCTCTAAAGCATTTCGGCACAGGCAGGGCAAATGTGAGCCTCAGGACTCATAGTGCCAGCCCTCCACAATACTAACCATATGAACTGTTATCACAGGGACAAAACAGTGGGGACAGCATGACAGGCCTTTCCCGGATGCCGCATGCTGTGGTTGTGATCCACTCAAAGTGAGCTGTCGCTTTGACACAAGTCTGCACCTTCCCAGCCATCAAGTGAGGCAAAAACACGCCAGGTCCCAAGGTCCCTCTGCACATCACAGGGTGCAAAGTTAGTGTTAATGGCAACTAGGTATTTGAGGAGCTGCACCGGTTGTGTCGACCCACAGGTCAAAGACCCGGAGAGCTGGAAAAGATAGAATTAGCTGCTATTGATCCACTGGGGATCACAACTGCAGACACAGCTAGGGTTGCGCACTGCAGCCCCAAGCCTCTGGCGTTGTGCAATGCTCCAGCAAATACAGCTGCCCCATGGGAATGCTGTGCACGAAGAACTTTGCTCAGCTTTGCCGAGGCTTGGTTTCTCTGAAGTTTATTTAGTAGCCCCTTTCGAGCTGCAGAAACAAATACGGAACTTGGGTGATGGTGCCAGATCAACGAAAGGACTTGGATACTGGCACAGTCAGTGTTAAATTACCTAAATTTCCAGTGTCCAGATGCCTAGCCTAAGCTAGATAGATGGGGAAGGGTGTCAGAGTTAAAAAATGTCTCAATGGGGAGCTGCATGCATAATCGAAAGGATACATCTAGGATAAGGGCTTGAGGCAGGCAGCTCAGTCCTTTGAAATGTTTCAAAGGAAAGAGCTTATTTTTATCTGGGCTACTTAAGACACTTATGACTTCTTCCCATTGTTAAGAACTCATTCTTTCAATGGAAAGACCCCATTTGCCCAAAAGCCCAGTGGTAAGAGGCATTTGTGAGGTAGGAAACCTGCTTGCAGCCCCCTCTGCCTAATGCAGAGCAGGGATTTGCTAAGACCCAGGTCTCTCACATCCACAGGGACAAGCAGTGAGTGCCCCAAGCATTCTGCTCAAGCTCAGCAAGGTCTGGCAGGGCTCTTCACCCTTGCAGTTGCTGTGGGTGCCCAAGGGGTCCAGCAATGGCAACCAGGGGGAGCTCAATGTGAGACTCTTGCTGCGCTCAAGTCCCTTCACAGATCTGTACTCAGATCCTCAGCTTCTCCCTCTGCTACTATTGCCCCATGGCTGTTACCAGGCAGATCATGGAGCAGAATCCCACGCATCTCCACAAAAGAGAGGATTTTACGGTAACTGCGAGATGTTCAATGCCAAACACACAACTCGGATCTCAGGAATTCACATCACCAAGCAAAGCAATTATAAGCAGCTTTCAATGCTCAGAAATGTGCATTTGCATTAGTTTATCCACCACCCTTCTCCACTCTGAAAGCCTTCAACATTCAATAGTCACTCTAACTAAAGCTGAGCATGGAAGGAGCCCCTGTTTTAAAATCCAGGCATATCTGGAGGCCAGTCCATGTATGCCTTTGTCAGAATAAGGGGGGACAGGAATACTACCTGGTCCCAGCTCAAAGTCCACAAGAGCCAAGTGGCCATACCATAGTCAGTGGCTGGTGAGCTGTATACTCATAATAGGTATGGCTGGTAGGTGTATGTGCCGGAGGCACAGCCAGCTCAGCTCACTGCTCCTGCATCACCTGGCCTAATGCTTCTGTGCGGCTCAGGGCAATCGAGCTGGAGCAAAGTGCTCCCAAAAGCTGTGAGCATCACCCCGTCAGCACCTACTCCCAGGCATAATGCCACATGTACTAATCTGACAGGCATCACCGGGACTCCCTTAGCAACGACCATTTGTGAGATTAATCTTAATGAAGAGGATGAGACCATTCGAGCGCTGCTACAGCTTTTCATGCATTTAATATTATGTTTTGACTAAAAGAAAGATTATGAAGGAGAGGAATTGGTGAAGTGCTACTGCCAGCTTTAGCAGTCATCACACACTGCTCTGCTCTGACCAAAGGAGTTTACTGGCTCCCTCTGAACACAGGCTACCATCAGTCACGTTATAACAAGCACAGGTGGCTGCATGACCCAGGTAGGATGGTTTAAAAGTGGTTCCTTCAAGGCAATTTAAAAATTGTGTTATTCTGACATGCCTCTCTGCAGCAGACACAGCTGCTATGTGCAACCCAAAGACAGTAACTTTACTGAAGACTGAAAGTCTGAAACCTTTGCAAAAATAGAAGGCAGACCAAATCCTGCCCATGTGTAATACTGACCACCTCGTAGAGGCGCTCACCTGCAGTGAGAAAGCTAGAAAACAGCATGCTTTGGAGGAAAGCTAACATCAGTCTGGGTCCATGCTCTGAACAAGCAGAAATCTCCAGCAATGACTGAGGAGCTCTTACAACTGAGGTCTTCTAACTGACAGAACAAGAACAGAAGGAGCAGAAGTTCTGAAAGAACTTCTCCCCCTTGCCTGAAAGAAAACGCATTTCCAATGCCTCAGGCACAGCAATTAATTGCTCCAAAAGGTAGCTCCATTGTTCAGAAGCATTCCTTCCATAATTACTGTATTTCTCCTTACACAGACAAACAAATGGCAAATGTATTGCTGCGGCTGCCAGTTTTCCAACCTCCAGGCATTGTAACACAAGGGCTGTGTCAACTGATGACGTCAGTCATGGCTTTAACAGCCGTCACGTTTTAAAAAAAACCCAAACATCCCATGTAACTGTAGCTACTTAACCAAACCACAAGCATGAGAGAATTGCAAATATCCACCGCAACAAACTATTTGGGCTATTAAAAAAATTTGCAACAGATTGTTTTCACAAGCTCTGCACTATTAAACAGCCACTTCTTACCTTAATTTGTTTGAATTTGTCATCCTTCTCAGGCTTCGTTTTTTTTCCTGCAACAACAGAGGAAGATTTCTTAAAGTCCTGTGTACCATGAGTTATCCTTCACACTTTCTATATTCACCAACAAATAGCCCCAAAACGTGCCTCAAAATGGTAGCACCTCCTAGGAAAGGGAGAACACACTGCTTAATTTTAAACCCCGCCTAAGGCCTGGGCAGTCAAAAATTCACCTTGAACATTCTGGCTTTATGGGTTTTTTTTAAGGGCTACAGAAAGGAACCATGATGGGGCTGAGGAAATCAAGGTGAAAAATGTGGAAGAATGCCAAACTAAGCAACAAGGCCTATTAAAAAACAGAAGGAAAGGGGAGAAAAATATTTAAAAGGGTATAAAGCAAAAGCTAAAAATATGTCTCATCACATTTGTGACACTCTCACTGTAGCTATAAAAAAAAAGGGAGACTGTTCATTAATTTAATGTGAAAGGAGATCACAATAAACTTCAACAAATATTTTTTGCAAACAGTTGCAACCTGGGAGGGGGGGATACATTATAATTCATGCACAAGTGTTTTATGCAATCGTGGTGACTTGAGAATCCACAAAATCACAGAGCTTACAACCTTCACACAATGTTGTGTGCCTTGGCAGACCCCAGTGTTGCTGCCCCTGCTCTGACCTGACGAGACCCTGATGTGGAAGCTCAGACTTGCTACTGCAAGCTCAGCTCTACCCCACTGTTTGCACAGACATGTCCCAGGAATTTTTCCCATCTCTACTACAAGATAGCACTGAGAATTAGAAATGTTTGCAGCCAAATTCTTTCGCTCTCACTCACACATAAATTTAGCCACACAGAAAGGGCATGTGAGAATATATACAGGGCCCAAAATACGTCAAGAGTTTTATAATAACTGGACTTGCTGTAGAATCCTCTCCTGCTACAGCTCCCATCTGCAGAATCTCAGCATTCACGATCAACTTTTCTAGTTCTCAGAACTATGAGAGGAATCCTACCACAGTGGGACAGGTTACGGTTCAGGGAAACTAACTGAACGTAGACCATTTTTCATACAGCTGTTAGGAAGTTCTGGGGAACATCAGGATAAAAATATTCAGCTTCACACAGAAGTAGAACTGGCACATTTTGCAGGCCCCACAAAAATAACAACGTCCCCACCACCATTTTCATGTTGACAAACTCTCCTCTCTACCTTTTTTGGAAGGTCTTTCAGATAATGGCAGCATCCGGTAAACCCTGAAGGCATTGTTTCCTTTCTTTATACTTTTGTCCTTCACTTCTTCTATGTCAGGCAGAGAGTTCATAGCACAACGGAAGTTTGCCTTCCATGTCTTTGGATCAGGTTTATCTACTCCTGACTGGTATTTTCCTAAGCAAGAAAAGAAAGTTAGGCACACATGACTTGCAACTGAAAACCTAAGGCAAATTAATAACACTGTAGGTTAACTTCAAGGTACCAGCCTTCGATTCCCTTGGCAAACATTTACACAATAGCTGAGGATACAAGAGAGTGTTGTGATCTCATTCACATGCACATTTCTAGGACCACATGTTGAACAAACAGTTTCTGCTCAAGAAAGACCCAGGACACTGCAGCTCGGATGTGACTGCACAACAACGTGGAAAAGCTTGCACAGCATTTACCTTTATTATGTCTGGCTCAAATCCATAAAAAGCCCAAGGGCCCAAGTCTACAAAGTGCTGAGTGTGCTCTACTGACTGACAATCTTGTTAACGTTTAAATCAATTAAGTTTTACTATGTTCCTCAAAGCAAATGACTTATGGCACTTCAATAAAGCTGGAGAGTATCGCAGACCTTGAAAAAAGCGCTTAGCTTCCCACAAATCTATAAACTTAGATTCACTTTCTGTGTGAGTAAAAGCAAAGACAAGAAAGAATGAAAACGTAACTTTAAAAGGGAAAACCATATGAAAATCTGTTCTGTTGAAAGTTCCAATACCTGTGTGAATTGCCCAGTTTCTAAATAAGGGAGCATCTTTTTCAACGTCCCACCCATGTCTTGCAGCATGCATCCAGGGAATCTGAAAAATCTTCTTCTCCTGGAAGGGAAAACAAACAGGAAATGCCAACACTGATTGACTTGAGGGATCTTCTGATGACTTTAAGTCACTTATTTAAAAGCATAGTTCCAGCATCTGCAAGTGTTTTGCTTCCTTCTAACTCAGTGCTGCTGCCACTGAAGTCAATAGGAAAATATCCACTAGCGTCACTGAAAGCAGAATACAGCCCTAAGTATATGAAATACTCAGAAGCCCCTTCATGAATGATGAGCCTGGCAGCTTTCCAAGCTGACACATGGACAAAACATGTAGTGCTGCACATTTCTAAACACTCAAACAAAGGCTAGTTTTGGCAGCACACTCTTATGATTAGAAAAATTACATCTGAAACTAAGCAACAATAGGAACACAGCAAATTCAAGGGATTTAGTATTCAGCTAGTAAAACATTAGCATGGTGAAGGAAAGGGGTCCCTCAAAATTATATGCCAAGCAAACAGACATATGAATCTATCAACTGTACACATCTCTCCAGTGGGGATAAAAAACATCAGACACCCATGCGAAGGGGTGGCATTGAAGACAGTTGAACGTATTTTACTTTAGAAACTTTAGGCCAAAGTGAAGTGTTTTTAAAGGAACCCAAAGGAAGGGTTTTTCTGAAATTATTTTAATACACAGCATGCAGTTAACTTAGGGCATGCCTTACGTAGTGGAAATATAAACTGAATCCCAAAGGGATCAGAAAAACTCATGAAAGATAGTACACTGGTGACTTAATGATGATAGTTTTGGGATGCAGCTCCAGCTCTGGAAGACCAATGGCTTTTAGAGCCTGAACAGCATGTTTCCTATACTCCTTCCACCAGCATTTAGCATACAGGATACCAGGCCAGATGGATGCTGGGTCAGATGTGATTTTATGTCATACAAAACCAGAACAGATTACTGTGTGCTGAGACCTACCGGACTGCTTCAGAACTCTTCACGCTCATTTCTGCAAAGCCATACAGAAGTTTGTTCACAACACTTGTTTTTCTCCCCTATGAGGGGAAATAAATCTTATTTGGCTTCCCATGCAGACATCTTGCACTATAAACACTGCAATTACAGGTTTAGATCCATTTCTCAGCCTGTGAAAAGCACTTCCAGGGCAAAATGTACCCTCCTCCTGAGGTGGCCGCCTGAGCCACGCCAACTGAATTGCACCCTAGAAAAGCCTATTTCTCTCCAATGACAGCGAACAACTCTAGACAGGCAGCTCTCATTTGAACGACTGCATTGCAGATGTCTGTGGTCGGGTGAGATGAATGCTTTGCCCTTTCCCCTTCCTCCAACACCCACTTTTCTTCCTGGTCTGACTGGTTAATATTTCACTAATGTCAAGGTTAGGCTTATTTCCTTTCCTTTCCATGTGATCTTTCCTTTTTTGATCCTGTGTTTTGTATTGTCCTTTAATTCTTGTCTTCAATCCTTTTTCTCATTTACGTTCACTTGTTCAGAATTGCATTTTTCCCTTCTCGCTTGGCTTCACCTTTTCTTTAATTTGCTGAAAGCACAGACTTCAACACGTTCCTCACTGCCCTTCAAGCCCTCACACTCTCATTCTTCCTGTTAATCTATCCACATTACTTCTTTAATGTGCCTTTTGACTCCTTACTCTTCCCCTGTTATACAATTAAATCATCCTACAGAGATGCTCTCCTCTTTCTCCAAGAAGAAGTGATCTAAAGAAAGCCTCAACCCCACTACCCTGTGGTCCACAGCACTACTGTATCCATCAGAGCTAGAATAACTTCCTTGCCTTTGCTCTTTCACAGAGTATAATGAACGTGGAAAGAAAAAAATCATACTTCCATAGAAAAGTATTTCTATCAACAAGAACTTTAAGAATTGACCAGATTAAAAAGTCTTCTCATGCTTGGTGACAGGGAGAGGTTTGAACAATGCTACAAAATGCTATGGAGGTTTTATCATGGATTTCATATTCCATATGATAATTGAAAAAATTCTATAGGAACTAGCAGACCAAACAAGACTCCAGACATAGCATCCTGTAATCAACAACCATACTGACTGCTCCAAAGGAAGACGCCAGGACACTCTCAACAGTAGTCTAAGTGTTCATTAGTGTTTCGGGTTATTACAGAAAGTTATTCCCAATCCCAGATGTCTTTAAATAAGCATTTAACTAATCATAATATAAATAA